AAGATTTTGTACCTAGAACTTTACCAATTTTCTTTTTTAAGGGCTGCTAAGCTCACTAGATAAATGCTTTCAAGTTAGAAGTTGGATAATTTATGTATCATTTATGATTTTTATTTAAAACTAAGCAATTGCAAAAAAAAAAATAATAATCTAAAGTGTTAATTACGCCAATAAACATAAATATAAATCCCTTTATTGTCCTACAATGGGGAAATTCACTCTGCAATTTAACCCGTCCCCTTGGGGAGCAGTGGGCTGCCATAGCGTGGCGCCCGGGGAACGCTCAGCGGAACCGGGTTCTTGCAACCTTATCAGAGGACAACTGCACTGCTCTAACCCACTAGGCCAACACTAGGACCCCTCTGGACAGGAAACCTAATCATTCACATCTGCTTGAAAAAACATCAACATCACTGTATATTTAATTAACAGATGCAATGAAGGCAGAGTGGCATCAGCCGCAGCACAACAGAGGAAACATGAAACTCAGATCCAAAGAGTAAAGCTACTTAGAATGAGGACAATCTGCTCCTCTATTCTCTCCATTTCTCCTTCAATGACCGTTTCTATTCGTTTTTTTGTCATGTAACAGTGACTCAGTAAGATTCCCAAATCACATGACTGCACTCAAATGTCTCCGCAGTGATCAATAGTAAGGCAAAATCGCTGCTTGTTAGCTAAGCTTTCTCTCATAAATGACAGTTTTTTCTTTAAAAGCTGAGGAACTCACCTGATTTTCAACCATTTTGTTCTCCCGGATCACAGAATATTTTCCTACTTGGTTCAAATTACCAGCATAAAAAAAAGTGTTTCAAAAAAAGAGTTTGGGATGTTTAAAATGTTGTATTATTCAGCAGCTTTCTCTAGCAGCCTGGGATAGCAGGCAGATCAGCTTAGCAGATATGGTGTTACTATGGAAACCATTTCACCACAGCATCATGCAGTCATTAAATGCAGATGTATGGGCCTATCTAGATCCATGTAAAATAAACGAAGAAAGAAGAAAATGAGGCTATTTGCAACTATTTCAGCCAGTTGACATTTAACTAATTAAATCTGTGTTTGTCTGTCAATAGTCTCCATACCTCCCCCCCTTCCACATTCTCACCCAAAGCTGGAATCTGCAGTTTTATTGACGCAGGCTAATAAACCCCAAGCTACCACGGAGCCAAAGGCACACATGCATCATGGTCGCAAAAGTAATGAGAGACGCTTAAATTAATTGAATAAAATCAAGGATCCGCTCTTCTTCAACAGGTGGCATCCATAAGGAAGCAGAAAAAGACAACTAGCCTAAAACACACAGTTACAGCTGTGTGTTTTACTAAATAAAAGTCATGCAGCTTGTGTTATTAGAGAAACACAGCAGCCTACTTTAAAAAAGCAAAGAAATATAAAAGCAAAACCTATAGAATAAGAAAACACGGCTGGTCATTGGCAAAAGATAAGACCTAACATTAAAACATTTCCTTTTAAATTGTTGGTGATAAAATAATTAATTTCCAATTGAGATTTTATGAGTCATAGGCTCCATTCACACAGCCTGAAGTTACCCAAATCCAATTTTTTTGCCCATATGTGACCTGTATCTGATCTTTTCATGGCAGTCTGAACAACACAGATACAATTTTTTCCAAAGTGACCCAGGAAACCTGACTATGTGGTCCTGAATCCCACCTAATTCTGCTATTTTCAAATGCGACCTGTGTGTGAACAGCCAAGTCGGATTAATCCGACCTGAACAACATTAATACCCGACAAAGGTCACTATTCTGTTGCTTTCTATGGAGAAGCAGCAAGAAAAACAACAACCATGATGAACAATAATGCGTAAAGTAGTATTTACCGTATGTTTAATCATCTTGAAAAGATTGAGTTTTAATGTTAGGAAAGATCATTAGATGCGCCCCATCAAAGCCATCCATGTTCACTTCTGTAAACACAGAGCGCACTTGCTTGTGATGTCACTGCGTCTTCTACTGCACATGCAGGGAACTTAAGTTGTATGAATGCAGTTTACTCAAAAAAAATTGGAATTAAGCATTTAGGCCTGCAGTAGCCTTAGTATTTTGTCTAAACCTCTGTGTGATCTGTGTGGATCTTCAGCTGAAATGTTCATTCCAGCTTATTTACATTGTCCATTAGTCATGTGTCCCTGAGGCCCCCCCCCTTCACCCTGCCCTCTGACACTCCTTTCTAACATTTGGTCGGTAACACGTCAATATATTGACACATGTTCACAATGACATGCAAGCTGCCTGAACTGCTGTAAATTCACCAATGAAAACCACTTTTCTAAAGATAACCAGCAGGAATTCACAAACCGAACAACAAAGCCGATTCCTATGAGCTTATGATAAAAAACAGAATACATAAACATGGACATTAAAGTGTAGATGTTTTCAGTAGATCAGGGATCAATTGCTCCTTAGATTTACACTGCATACATTAGGCTGTAATGTTTGGGCTAAGAGGTCTACGTTTTAAATGTTTTACTTTAAATAAATTATTGTAATTTTGGTGTTTAGTCACAATAAATGTTGAAATTGTCATGCTGGGACCCTCTGTTTCCTTGTCTTTGGGTTACCTGCCTGCCACTAACATGTGCTCTGAATCTGATAATTAGTGAGAGCAAATATACCTGTCTGTCTGCTAATCACCCTCATTCCCCCCAGCTTTTATCCTGCCTTTTAAATCCTGCTTCTCACAGTCAGTCTCTGCCAGACTGTCTCTTTCCCTGCACGGGGTTCATTCCCAGTGCTTGAGTACACAGCCTGCCTTCCTGTGTTTCTATGGTTCTTCTGCACTCACTGCGTTCTCATTGGCTTCTGACACTGATCATGACCTGCCATGCCTCTGTCACCAGCCAGTTCAGCCATCTTCTGCCATTTTCAGCCTACAACCATCCTGTTATGCCTAAATCTCCAGTTCATCTGATCATGAATACATCTACAGCTGAGCTTTAAGGTTACATACTCTTCCTTTAAAGACAGAATAAAAAACAGCTGCCAGTAAAATTTATTGACAATGACAGATGACATACCCTAAAAAAATTAGGGTAATACATAAATAATATATATACCGGTATATAGGGAATGTAAACCTCCCAGGACAACTTTATATGAAAAAGAAAGTAAAATCAAAGACCCCTGATCCTGAAAGAATAACGCAGTCTTTAATATTCATGGCAAAAGTTCAACTAAATAGTCAATATAATACAACTAAATGATCAAAATAGCAAAACTAAATAATCAAATGACAAAACTAAATAATCAAAATTACTAAACAAAATAATATTAATAAAAAACAAAATAACCAAAGTAATAACACTAAATAGTTATAGTATAGTAATAACATTCAATATGCAAAATAACAAAGATGAATAATCTAAATGACAAAATAACCAAAATAACAAAACAAAGTAGTCAAAACACAAAACTAAATCATAAAAAAAATTCAGACTAAACCTCAAGTATAATTACTCTAAGTAAAAGTAATGCAAAACAGTGAGTATAACACAAGGACATTGACTGCAATACAAAAAACAAGCTCTAAGAAGTTTTTCAGGCACAAACTCTGTTACTCCAAAATAAAACTCCAAGATATAATGCTGCCCTTTATGGGACACAAGAAACACGTAAAACGTTGCTTCTGTGGAATGAAGCTGAAGGTGACCTTTAATGGACTACCTGTAAACTGCTACTGTATGAGTACAAGACTGCGCGTCACCCTGAACACTCCTTCTCCACAGTGAAACATGGCGGTGTCATGGTTTGAGGATACCTTTCTATGGGGAAGATGGATGGATCTAAATACAGAAGTATGAGGCGGTCTGGAAAGACAGCCCGGTAGCTGCATAGCAACAACAGAGCAGGTTAGATAAAATCATCCCATGAGGATGGCAAAGTTCAGATCTAAATCGAATTGATGCTCTGTAGCAAAGAGAGCCTCTGTTCATCCTGATTTAGCTGTTGTGATTTTTAAAGAATAATGGAGCATAATGTTAATGTAGCTGTTCCTGTAGTAAAGGTATTTCTACAAAGCATTGACTCTGGAAGGCTGAACATATATGCATGCCACACTTTTCACTTGATTATGTCCTCAATAAAGTATGTTATTTATGTCATGCACAGTCTGAATGTAGGTTTTATGTTTAGGTGCCTCTCATAAAACGAGCTGTAATTTATTTTTCTGGCATGTATTGCATGTTTGGTCATCTGCATCTAGCGTTCTCTATTTCCCAGGAGTCCTTTACATCAGTGGTTCTCTTCAGGGACCACTGCCCTGCATGTTTTAGCCATCACTGTGCTGCCATACACCTGACATATAAGAATGAAAGATTAAAATACTTCTGGAGCCCTTGATGACTGCTGAGGAGGATCTGGTATCATTTGAATTAGAAATGCTGCATGACTTAAACCAATTCAATCAAAGGGAATTAGAAAAAAAGGTCAAAGGAGAAAAAAAGAGGCAGATTATCGTTCTGTATTCTGTGCTACAGTTTATGTTGTTTTAGTCTTTTAAATCATTTTTTGAGTGGATGTGATAAGTTAACAGAAAATGATATAACAAAGCATTTCACCATTTATGCTCACATTAAAATATTTGCATTGCTCAATAAATATATCAGTTAAAATGTGGCCTCCTTCATTGCCTGCAGACTGCATGTCCACTTATGAAATATGATTACATTGACTCTAAAATCCTCGGAAAACATGCCTTAAATCCCACCCATAACACATCCACGGCATGTTCAGAGACTCATGGCAACATTGGTGACTCATGGAAACCCTATAGCATACATTACCGCCCACAAAGCACTGCTTAGAGACTCTTACAGCCCATTATAAACAAATGTATGTCCAAGATCTTACACCATTAAAACGTTGGCTTCAATTTAGCTTAAGTTTATTATATTTTTACACAAGCTGCATAACACACAAGCCTTACATATTTTGTATGGATAGGAGTCACGGGATAGAGGGTAAATATCCGCTCACCTGGCCTTCCATTTTTAAAAGATGCTATAGATGCTCTCTCCGTTGTCTAGAGGGATTTCAGGTCTGCAGGATGCAGAGACTGAGGAGAAAGAAAGGCGTGGAGGGTTGATGGAGGGAGGGAGGAGGCGCCAGGTGGTGCCTCACAGCCAACAGCTGCAAAACATGGAAACCGCGTTAGTCGCTGTCCGTGGTACTAGTTCATCTCTGCATTGCTTATCGTTTAAAACGCCCCCAACGCTGCTTAAATATTTGAAGATGCACAGCTTTTAAGTAAATAAGCAGATGCTATTTGTTAACCTCTATCCCTGCAGTCAGATGAAGGCCAATTGGCTCAGTTTACCCCAGCAGAGGCATCCAAGATCCCTGATATGATCCCAGTTCGATCGGTGGGAGGAGACTCACCTGTCGTGACCGGTGGAACCCACGGCGGGCTGCAACAGGTCTCTTTTTTTTTTCTTTTTTTTTTTGAAAACGCTGCCCTACACAGTGCGTCCCTTGCAAGGGGCTGCGAGGAACGAGGCACGTAACCCACATGCTATGATTACACCCGTCTCAGCTCGGCCAATCAGCGGCCGCTACGCCACGGTGTCGTGACGCAATCCCCTCCCTCGTTTAGCCTGCAAATAATCTTGATTCCAGAGCAGCATCACCGCGTCCAATCATGGCTGAAGCATAGCCTTTAGTCGGTTAGTTGGTCAGAACTGGCGCATGCGCATAACGTGGGGGGATGGGGGTCTGTCACAGTGGGTCGTGGGGATGTGCTTGTAAAGCCCCCCACTCTCTCTCTCCCTCTCTCTGTTGTCCTCTATGATGCTTCTAGAAGTTGACCTTGGCTGCTGCTGCTGCTGCTCATGGGACGTCACGTCATATGACGCAGCTCAGATGATGCTTCGGTTTAACACGCTTCATTTAAAAAGTTTCTTCTACAGTCATGATTATTTATAAACAGAATAAATAAGTTAGAGAAGTTCAAGATATGCTTAGAGAAAAGGGGGAAACAGATGATTACATAGTAAATAAGTAGTTAAGTACTTATTAAGTAGTTAACTACTTAATAACGGGTGTAATCATTAAGTAGTTAACTACTTAATAAGTAGTACACTTCCCAGTCAAATTTAGAAACAATAAGCCCTAATTTCAGTATTTCTAAGGCTGCAAAGGCAAGACGAAAGTGGCTTCCTTATACAGTGACCATTACTTTATCTGGCATGTTTTAACCGAATATTTTAGAGAACATAGACTGCGCCTGTTTTTGATTTTTATTAACGTATACCAAAGAAAACCTGTCTCAAATTTTAGATTGAAAGTTGGACATTGTGAGTTTTTCTTTGCTATAGAGGTTAACTTCTCAAGCTATAATGCTTTGATTTGAAATTCTCAGTAGGTCAGGCTCCATGTTAAGGATTGTTGTTCTGCAGGAAGGCGAATTTCTGCTCTGCTCTCTATGGTGCTGCAGCCAATAGCAGGTTTTCTTCCAGGACTGAGCTACATTTAACCAGATGTGTTAAGTAACTAAGTATAAATACTTTGTTGGTGCAGTTTGATATGTCATTTTCAATATCTGTACTTTACTTGAGTATTTATTCGTCTGAGGATTTTTTCTTTCACTACCTTCATTTCAACCCAAATATCTATACCTTCTACTCCTTGCTTCCTTTAAAAATGTCTAGTTTCTTCTATATCTATTGATAACAACATGATGTGGCAGCTGAAACAAAATAGAGGAAAATCCAGAGGGGCTTGTTAATCTGTCCAGTTGGTGCAAAGTTTGTTAACAGAAAAACACAGATGGCCAGAAAGATGAAGACAGCGGCCAGAGAAAAAAAGATGATGGATACAAAAGACTTTCTCCATCCATATTCCCCTCTTTTTAGATTTTAAATGAACTTGTTTATTTTTAATTTTTTTGCTTTAATTTCTTTTTAATAGTAATTGAAACTTTGTTTTCTTTAAAAACATAAACTCTAAATTAATTCACATGTTGTTAAGCTCGATCTATATTATCCTGTCTGAAATTTTAATGTAGTACAAAACTATACAGAGTCTGTCTTTTCTATGGTTTTGTCTAAAAACACTGTGAGAAAAATAGAAAAAATAAACAGTTTTTCTGAGAATCAAACTATTTTTTTTTTAAGAATACATTTTAAAAGCTATTTTTTATCAGTAAAGGCAGAAACTTCATTTTACAGTTTTACATCAGTACAATGCAGAACCTGTACTTTTTATACTTTTACTCTATAGCTAACAAGCTCAACTGGTACTTTATTTTTTACCACTCTATTTTTACACAGGTATCTGCATTTTAATTTGTGCTTTTTACTTTGGCCAGTACAAGCATCATCTTATTGGATCAACTTCCTTCCCGTTCTGATTGGCTCCTTTGCCCCTGTTCCACGAAGGCCACATTTGTAGAGGGCATTCCTATAACTTGACACTTGCAAAGTTTTTCACCTGAGCTGTAAACCTTTGCCACTCATTCCGATTAAATCTATGGTTTTCTGTATCTTGGCAGCTCTCTTATCAAGTTTCTAAATTAGAAGATGCATTTAGCAGTTTTCTCCGAGATACTTGGGATATTTCTTTATGATCTAAAATCTTTTACAACATTTAATCAGTGACCAATGTGGTGTATTCCTCACTCCTGATTATACTAATAAGCCTTTCCAAAATAGATTTATTTATACCCAGAATATTTTATCTAAAGCTATCAGAGACAGACAAAATCAACAAAAATAATGACAAAATACTTAAAACATCTTTTTAAACATTTATATAATTTCCTTTTCATTTATATGTAATTTTGTAATGATCCACCACATTAAATCCTAATCAGATGACAATAAATTGGAATTGAAGTTTTTATTTCACTTTTTTTTCTAAAAACATCATAGATAGTGAATAGAAAGAGTAAAACAACTTTTATTTTAAATTCATGTTTATAATTGACCCCTTTTGACAGTGACAATTAATGATTGAACAAAATTTATTTTTTCTGAAAATTGAAACAAAATGAAAGGAAAAGCTGAAGCAGCACTAAGTCTGCTGGCGGAAATGAGTTAGAGGAAAAGAGAATAAAATGTTTTCACAGTAATGGCTTTTTATTTAGCTGCTTTAAAAAAAATAAATACTAGAATGTTTCATGTTGAGATGATGGGATGAGAGGAGAAACTGCCTTCAAATCCTCCCAGCAAACGATCCTGATTCCAGCTGATCGTCCCATTTCTGAACCTGCAAAACATGTTGAGGAAAAGGGGAGGCAAACATGATATAAACAGAGGAAGAGCTGACAATAAAGTAGGAAAACAAACATAAATAGCTAAAATAAACACTTTGGAAATTATTAATTCTGATCCTTTAAACCACATCTTTATTTTTAACAGGGGTCTTAAGGCACAAAATATGAATGCCTCTAATTATTCAAATAGAAAACAAAATGATGTGCTTCATGTACGCTTGGTGTTATAACTTGGAACTGGTTTAAACAAACATTTAAAACCACCATCTACTTGTGTTAATCCAGCTGATGGTAACCCTACCCAGCTGATGGGACAGAGACTCTTGTATACCCTGTGGTACCACTCACAGGGAGCCGGGTCCTGGTTTTTAGCTGACAGAGCTTTGTTACATCGGTGAAAATCTGTTGAGTGAATGAAAGGACAGTAACAACCTATGAGGTATGACACAGAAGGCAAACAGCAAGAGTGATTATTATGGAATAATGAGAAATAATCACTCATGTGTGCATTGCTATATCACTGACTACCTCTAAATCCTTAGCCTGGTCCCAGCTTTAATTGCAGAGTATATTTACTCCAGGATAATACAGTAAAACCTACTGGACATGACTGCTGGATACAATTAGCACAAACCAAAACAATCTCCAAAATATCTTCTCCAAACAAACGCCATATTGAAGAAGCCACACTTCTACATTTGTATTTTTTGTGTACAAAATTAACCCCATTTTGGTCTGGCATATTCCAAATTCTAGCAGATATGTTTAATATAGAATTGAGGCTAAGCTTTCTAAATGAAATAAATACCAAGAACAATTTTCATCTTATGCCATTATCATAGGAAAAAAGCTAGTGTTGATGTTCTGGAAAAAATACAGTTTTCATTAGCAAATAATTTAAAGCGAATCTATAGAACTTGGCAACCCCTTCGGCAATATATTGATAATTCTTTTTGATTCTCAGTGTGATAAAATGTAAGTCCTTGGGGAAGGGGGGTCCTGAGAATGTTTCTGTTTATTTTGTTTCGTTTGTATTGTCTTTATGTTTCATGTTCACATCAAAAAAGAGGACAAATTAATATTGCTGATGTTTGAATTTTTATTTCTGTTTCCTCAATAAAACAATTTGACAAAAAAATATGTCCTCCATTAAAAAAATGTTGGATCTTGTAGATATTTACAGTTTTCATCCCGTCTGCCTTGTAGGAAAGGTGATGCAATAGAAAAAAAAAAATTTCTTAAAACCCCTTAAAAGGTTTCAAAAACGTTTGTACTGTAGTGCAGAAAGATAATTTACTTCACATTAGTTATGCTGAGGTTAGCTCTGTGCCTAAAAAAAAAGGAAGCAGCTAAATAGAGATGAACTGATGCTGGAAGACGCCTCTGTTGCTCAGCAAAGATTTTAAACATGTATAGCTCAGGTTACTACTATAACATAGAAAAAAACGATTTTGATGGCCAAGTAAAAGAAACTAGGAGGTCAAAATAAATACTTTAAAGTATGCTTTAATGGTCTGATTTTGAAAAAGAGCACTATAAATTAGAACAAAATGTAAAGTTTAGATATCTTAAAACTTTATGACTGAAGAATATTTTATCAGTGCATTTGATTAAGGATTTTGGATAAAGGAGGGAGTTGTAAACTAAGTGGTTATGCTAACGTTGTTGTTGTTGGTTACAGTCTTAACACTTTATTTCTTTGTTTTTCTATCAATCCAATCTGCCAACTAGAAGACTTTACCATTCTTACCATTCAGCTGCTTTCAGAGGGTTTATGAAGGAAGCTTTCTATCCGTATAAGATGATGTCATAATTTCATTCATGCTCCAACAGCTTCTCTTTTCCTCGGATGCTGGTTAAGGATCTCTGTCCCAGAAATAGAGCAGATTATGTAACCTGCTTTTCTGTGAGCTGTATGTTGATGCCCCAGGTGCCTCCTATGCCACAGGAAGTGACATACATTTGTTTTGTTTGTTTTTTATAAATATGAGGCAGCCCAATCATCTTAGTTTGTTTTTGTGTATGGTCTGCAACTATTGGGCAATGCTAAAATCATTTTCTTCTTTTCGTTTTGGATATTGCCACATATCAAATTTTGCGGTGCACACTGTTAAACCTTTATATGTTGCGGGTTTAAAAAAAAAAAAAAATTTCACTATAAAAAATCTGATTCTATCTCATCTAATGGCTATTTACATTCCAGAGAGTAATTTTTTTGGCTTTAACACCTCATTATTTCTTTTCTTTTCTGTTTTTTCCCCAAAATTTGTATTTATCTCCTTTGCAAGAGTTTAAACTTTAGATATTTCCTCTATATGTCTGGTGACGCTGTTGTTCTTTTCTCTAGAAAACAGGTTATTTCTCTGTTGTTTTAAAATTAAATGAAGGCTGAAATTATATTACAGAACTCGATAAGGAACAAAAACATGTTCTCCCACATGAAACCATAGAAAGCAATGAGACCAGGAGTACCCAATGTTTCTCTTTGGCTGAAGAGAAATTCACCTGCTCTCGTTTTATTCTCAGGTTTAATTCACTTTAAAAAAGAAAATGCAGAAATGATTTGAGAAACCAGGTGACACTAAATGGATCCAATAAAACCTCAGTGTCCTTTTCACCTAAATAGTTCTGGTAGCAGTTCCTGGTCTGGTTGGTGTTTGGGAAGCGGGCATCAAAAGGAGCCGTCCTGTAGTTCTTGATCTTCTCTTCAAATTTGTCAGACATTTTCAGCTTCTGCATATAAACAAGTTCAACAGCAACAGAATAATTTATTTGATAATGAGCTGTTTAAAAGGAAAACAGCTAAACAAAACTGGATAACAAATTTGTAAGTTTTTCCTAGCTATTTAAAATGATTGACTACCCAGAAGTTATTTTTTTTCTATTTGTATGGCAACAGTAAACTTTAAATTCAAATCTGAATGTAATTACCAGAAAGAAAATAGGAAAGAAAATTTCAGCTTTTTAGGGTAATCACTTAATGTAAATTTATAGTTGGATTGAAATATATATATATATATTTTAGATTAAAATCAGAACAAACTATTTTGACCCTAAAATGACATAATACTGTATAGACTAACATACATTCTACATCAAAGGGTAGCTTTAAGCACATGAAAACAAAAATTTCTAGAAATATATTCATCATCAAAGACAAACTCCTCTTAAAAAAGTCACACTTTAAACTGAAGCAAAACAGAACCGTTAACATATTTACCAGAAGTTATTAGAATAGAATAGAACAGAATAGAAAAGAATAGAATAGAAAATCCCTTTATTGTCCCCCAATGGGGAACTTGTGGTGTTAAAGCAGCATTACAGCTAAAGTGGTCACACAAATGTGGACCTAAAGAGTTTATTAAAAAATAAAAATAAAAAAGTGGCAGAGTTAAAAAATAAAAATCAAAAAATAAATAAAATAATGACCTTTACTATGTTTTTACAAATACAAATAATGTGCAGTCACACAGGAATAAAAATCAATATAAAGCTGTGGAAATATGGGGAAATAGCAGCAACACAGAGATTTGCAAAAGGACAGCAGCATGTTATTTTACCATAAAATCAAATTTGATAATAAAAGATAAGCTACTTTCAGTATAACAAATTAAATGGGTGAATATGCGGCATAAACCTTGGTAATTAAATACTTTTTTTCAGACTCTTTTTAGTTGAAGACAAATAAGAAACAAAAAAGTATTTTAGAAAACCATATTGAAACATTTTGAAACATTATTATAAACGTTTTATGTAAGTTATTAATTACATTATAATAAATATCCAATTTGCCAGGGATCTTGATTGAATTCAGCAAATTACAATTAGTAATTTTCTGTATTTTGTATTTTATATCGTCTCTTAAATGTATTCTCTTTCAAAAATAAAAAAAAAGAGTAAAACATTTCTATTTAATCGTTTTTAAAACCTGTTCAAGCTGTTGATCAGCAGCAGTCACTAATCCATGACTAAATCTCTATCACCTGTTTGACCATCGCATTAAATAGAAACCCTCAGACATCAGTTACTGTTTAATCAAACTTTAGGTCTACAACCATGTTCTTAAAATAAACAAACTAAAAAATAAACCTAAAACATTTACCATACCTTTTTTTTATAAACTCCTCTCTAATCCGCGCTGCTTCTTTTCTGCTCAGTGACAGCACTCGCAAAGCATGCTGGGAAACGGAGTCTGTAAGAAATACTTTTTTTATAGCACGGCATCGCCACCTACTGGAGCAAAACGGAACGTGCAAAATGTCCATGAGATTATACATAAAGTAAATGTAATAGCAGTTACTGTAATTTGGATTATCATAATCCTTCCAGCGATATCATCAGTCCATCAGCATAAAATTGCTTAATTACTGGGTTTGTTTGTTTAGTTTACAATGTGGTTGAAATTAATCCGATTTTATAAATTTTTATTAAATCGTATTTGTCACTTTACAAAAGTGAGAACTTGAAAATTTTATTTTATTCTCTTTTTTAATGAAAAACAAAAAGCAAAGATGATTCTAGAGTTAAAAAATCAAGAGAGAAATTATTAAAGTTTAAAATCATTAAATCAACAAATAGACCAAAATGTAAATAAGACCCAACAATTTAATGTATTGAAATGAAAAGAATAAAAAAAAAGCTTTTACAACAGATACACAAAAAGAGATTAATCACAGTTTAGAATAATTGCATTACAAAACCATTTAACATAGGATACTATTGATCCATTTAGTCCTGCAAACATGATCCAAATATACGCTTCTAAATCTTGCAGGGATTTGCTACTGCCTGATACCGAAGCAGAAAGTGTATCCTGGGTCACTGTAGAGATGCTTGTCTGCGCTCACAGATCCTCCTCAGCTGACCAGAGCACCTGGAAATGAACCAGCTCCTCCTGTAGTTGTCTGCTGGTGTGAGCCGTCCACAGAGCTCATTGCTCTCTCCTGTGATATCTGGCTGATGGTACCAAAACCTGTAGAGACAAGAGGGAAATCAATAAATAAATACTAATATGCTAAAATATTCTACTACTTTATCCTCTATCACATATATATCATGTTTATTAAGATGGGTTCCTGCAATCTATGTCTAGTAGTAGAGATGCAAAAGATCTGAGTTTTCTGGATGAAAAAGGATTTTGATTATTTCGAGCATGTCAAACATGATTCTGAATTTTTTTTTTTTATTATTATTATAAGCACTCTGATGCATTAAGCTATAAAGTACATATATAAGGTAACAGTCTGTGAGGTAAATTGTTTCAAAGATTAATCTTATTGGCAGATACGATTTCTGATAAAAAATATTGGAAATTTAGGTTTGGGAGTATTTAATGCAGAAGATAATCTAATGATTACCAATAGAAAATCAAGCAAAGAAAAAGGGATTTAGGTAATAAATCTTAAGTAGATTTATTGGGCATCTCATTTTTTTAGTACTATGTGAATGATTAAGTTGTCAGTGTACATAATATATTTACAGTGCAAAGACAATGTGCTGTATTTGAAATGTGCTGTATATGTTTAGTAAACTAGGCTAGTTTGAACTAAATTTTTATACAAAGACACCAAGAAAAACGCTATAGGAGCTAAACAGATTTAATTTGTCAGTGGTCGGCGCATACAATTACCCTGCATTATCTGGATATAGGAGTAGATTAGCAACACATTAACCTTTAGTGTGAGAGATCAACGAGGTTATAAACCCAGGTCGCTGTCTCAAAGTTGCTGCTGCACAGGAGACCAAGAGACAAACCTTTATTCCAAGGAAGAAATTAATACCTGGCTAAAGCCTCCCAAGAGTTTATCTAAAGTCTGATAAAAAAAATAAGGTGGAAAAGAAAAAGTTTCACATAAAAAAGAATTCTAAAGGACTCCAAAAGAACTGCAAGCCTGAACTCAAATCATTCAGTTTACTTATGTTCAGAAACAATATATATTTCTTTAGAATATTTGATTATGCTTTTATTTCTATGGCTGTGGAACCAGACAGGTTGTCCTGTACAAGTAATTGCTGCCTCGTGACCTCTTGTGGTGTATTTGGCCCTCTTGCCGCTCCTCCTCCACCTCTTGGTTCCTGTCTTTCCACTCACTGTGGTCCATTCTCCAAAGGGGTGCCGTCACTCCACTGCCAGGTCCCTTCCACACCACTTCCCCTCAGCCCAAGCCAATATGAGTCTCCCTGACTCAGGCTCTGGGCTGTTTTAAACAGAAACTCCTGTAAAAAATGTCAGAAAATGTAAGGTTGCAAATGTGTCTAAGCAGTTCTGATGAATATTGGCTTGTGACCAATGCAGGATGAAAAGTGTGCTGCATGAGCAGTAAATGTAATGAAAGACTAAACCTCCAATGACCTTAAGTGGCCTCTGCTCCTTTAGCCGTCGTAAATCTATTCTTAACCATACTTACTGCTGCTGCTATGCATGTATATGTGCATGGCTATATATGCACATGAGGGACCTGTGTGCCTTTGGAACATTTTATTATGGACGGTGCCCACAAAATATGTACAGTTTATGCAAGATATGCAAGATAAATGACCCACTTTAAATAAGAATATTGTTCAGATGAAACAACTGAGCAGGTCTCCACTGTTGTAACTGAATGTTACTTAATCCATTTATGTAAGATATATCTGCCAAGATCCATGCATGATCACCTGCTCCTCCTCTGTTTTAACGGTAGCCACAGCGCCTCCCAGTGACATGCAGCGGTACTGACTGCTGATCCAGTCAGCTCTGTCCTCACTGAAGTAAAAACATTTATCTCCATTAAGTTTCCAGTCAGCCAAACATGGTCTGCACTCTCTATCTGTTTGAACAAATAAACAAGAGAGAAAGAAAAAAAAATGTTTAGAATATGTTCCTAATGGCTTTAACACATTAAAACAGTTCTGTCATAACTTTAGAAGTCCCCTTACTAAAAACATTTCTGTTTGAGCCCTGTTCCTACCAGAGTTTTTTGCTCACTTGCAGCAAAAACACTTTAAAATATCCCCTAAAATAAACCTTTTCTAAACTGTTTTATCATTTGCATAATTCCAGACTGCTCATGCTTGTATTAAGCTTCGTATAATTTTATTTGGGAGTTATAAATTTAGATAAAAGTTATGTAAGCTCACTGTTTAGTTTTCTACTGAATGTTTCCTTTTAAAATAGTTTGTCTTTCGTTATTTGAAACCCCAATAAAAAAAATATATATAAAAAAAAAAAACATTTTATTGTTGTGTTACCAAATTACGTCTGACATTGCGTTATATCTCTTTATTATTTATCTTCACAGAACTTTACCAACATGTGTCTTTTTACTGAAATTAAAACTAACATTTTGGAGCTCAGAGTCCCAAACTAAATCTTTGAGGAGTTTTATTGAACAAACGTGTGTATAGAATTTCTCTCATGTTTGGAAAAGGAGTCTCTATTACAGACAAATATTTAAAATGATTTTTCCCTTTGTATATAAAATAAATGTTTCTTCCTGGGTTTCTTGATTCCATGAGATCATTTGAAGGGAAGCAGATAAAGTAATTAGTTATGAGAAGGGCTGCCAGAGGGGTGGTGAAAGATTGATGAAGGATTCCTCCGGTCAGACAGTAGGAGCTGGAAAGCAGAAAAACAAAGCCCACATTAAGGGCATCAGAGGTACGATATGGTTTCTGGTAAAGAAAAACATAGAAGCTAACTTCCAGAGCAAAACACCATAAGCATAAGAGACTGATTACCACTTATGTCAGAAAGACAGTTGGGCATCTACCTCTGGTAATGGCTTCTCTTTAAGCTCCTCACAATGAGCCTTAATGAGCCTCAGCTTTGGAGGCTGCACCTGCTACTCACAGGGCAGAACAAGGAGAGACACAAATGCACCAACCTGCACAGTTCTATAGATATGACAATGTCTGCAGTGGAAGATCAATCCTACACGTTACCATAATATAATATTTATATTATTCCATTTTTTAGTATATGCTTTTTACTTTTTAAACACTTTTTTTATCCAGAACAAGTTAAAACATTTTTTTAAAGAAAATCAAACAACATTTTAAAGAAACTCCAAGAGCAACTAGAAAAGCAGTTTTTTTGTTCACAAAGATTTGTATTAATTTTCAGACAGTCCAACAGATTTGGAGTGAACATAGAAACCAGAGAGGTTTTAAGTTGCACTTTTTACCTGAGTCTAAATGTTAACATTTAGTACATTTGAAAAAGGGAAGAATTAAAAGACACAAAAAATATAATAAAGTTGAATGATATTTTCTAATTAAGCAGTGGAATTGGAAATGTTTGTGGAAATGCAGAAAAAGCTTTAGATTTCATTGATCAACATCCCCATTAAAAACTGTTGCAAAGTAGGACTGGATCATTTAAAGCACATATGTTCCACGTTTTACAGTGGGCAAAGTATCAAGCGGAGCCATTGTTTTGATACACTTTTATTTAATGTACTTAAAAAGTGCCAAATTTCTTATTTTTCACCTATAAAAGAGAATCTAGTCTTTTTTTATGTGCTGATTTCCATATTAAGACTTAATCTACATACGCCTTTGCATTTATTTATGGCATTTATCCCACTTCTCATAAAAGTGCACCAGTGCACAGAGCATTAAAACAATAAAATAAAAAGGAAATTAACTGAGCTCTATACTTTTTTTTCACAACTGGAATACTGATAAGACAAAAATGTGCAAAATTAATTATCAATAAAAAAAAGTAGTCACACCCTGATAACAACTACTGAAAAAAAAAATAAATAAATAGAGAGAACCAAAAAGATGAGAAATAAAACAAAAGATTTAAGAAGGCCTTGACTCCCACAGAAAGAAATTTGAATCAGGGTATGGATGTTTCTGTTTGGGTCCGTTTCTGTTTATTTTATACTCTACACAAGCATCTCCCCATGTCAAACTATCAGCCTCAGGTCCTGGAAGGGTTTCCGTGATCTAAGAGTCTATGTTGCTGGGGCTAAATGCTCCTGGTGCAAACAGGCCGAATCACAAGGCTAATGATTTGCTTGGTAGGGCGGAGCTGCGACCTCACCCTCAGCAACATAAAGAGCCAAGCTAGGGGGTGGAAGTTTGTCTGCAAGCGCCCTGGTGTTCAGGGTAATACTCACAGGACCCAACCAGCTCAGTCCCAAATGTGAGACTTGATACCAATTGGCCCACCACCTGGAGTGGGAACCATGAGTGCTAAGAGACCAAACAGTGGTCCATATCCAGGGACATTTTAACTTGTTCTCTCGTCACTCTCATCTCATCCCCACTGGATGATGGACGGAGCAGTTTGCAGTGAATTGCAAAGCCAGTGGTATGAAAATAAGCTTGGGCCATGGTTCTTCACCAGATATGGAGGCTTGCCCTTTTAAGGTTGGAGAGTTCTTGCCTCAAGTGGAGGAA